CCTGGACAGCCCGGGTACCAGCTGCAACCAGATGTGAAGAGAAACTCAGACAAAGCGTGACTGCCACCACCAAGTCCGTTAACTCCCTCTTTGGGGACCACAGAGGTAATTTAGTGTCTTGTCTCCAGAAGTGCTCGTGTTTATCAGCGGCAGCAGCACAATTCCTGGACTGTAAATCATAACCCTTTAGGTGTATTTTCTTGAGTTGACGTCCCCTTATAAATAATATGGGAAGTGCTTTTATTTTGTTGACAGAAGACTGCTTTCTTTCTCTCTTCTGTTTTTAGAGTGACTTTCTTTTTCAGTCAAATTGGAAAATACAAGAGCCTCACTTACTGAGTCCCACCACGTTGCCAGGTGAGATGGAGACAGGTATCCAGGGCTCTCTACTATCATACAATCTTCCAGTAGGAGGGACATGGGATGATTTCGTAATATCTATTCAAACTTCAAATGCAAATGCTGGTCATGTGTGGTGGCTCACACCTGTAATCCCAGCACTTGGAGATGCTGAGGTGAGAGGATTGCTTGAGCCCAGAAGTTCAAGACCAGCCTAGGCAACATAGTAAGACCTCGTCTCTACAAAAAATCAAAACAATTAGCTAGGCATGGTGGCGTGCACCTGCAGTCCCAGTACTAGGGAGGCTAAGGTGGAAGGTTTGCCTGAGCACAAAAGTTTGAGGCTGCAGTGAGCTGTGATTGTGCCACTGCACCCCAGCCTGGGTGACAGAGTGAGACTCTGACTCAAATAAATAAATAAATGAATAAATGAATAAATAAATAAATAAAATGCAAATGCCCAATGACTCAGAGAACCATTTACTCATATGCATAAGGATGTGTGTGTTTTGAAGCCTGATATATTTATGACAAATATCTGGAAATAATCTAAAAGTGAAATAAGGAACCAATAGTTAAATAAAGCATGGTAGCTTTTTCAGAAATTACCAAGAATGAGATAGAATTATGCATACTGGTAAGGAAAGATATCCAAGGTATACTGTTGAGGGAAAGACATTCATTGTAAGAATTTATGAATAGCATAAGATACAAAATATAGTTTCATATCATTTGTGTTTTTTTAAAAGTCCACAAATGAGTTATATATTTGCTACAAGTACATATATATGTTTATGATATATATATAGAGAGAGAGAGACGGGAAGAATATATACCCAACTGGAGATGATGGATCCCTTTGGGAAGGGAGCTAAGACTGGGGTGGTGGCCAAGGAAATTTTAGACTTTTGCTATATTTTAAGTTCTTGAAGAGGGGAAGTATTCATAGACTACTTGTGCAGTTAAAAGGAGCTAGAAGTCAAGGCACCTGAACTCTTACTATTATTCTTACTATCATATTATGACAAACATTATATACATAATATAGTTTCACATCATTTCAGTTTTTAAAAAAGTCAACAAATAAGCCATATATTTGCTGTAAGTACATGTATATGCTTATGATTATATAAATATAGAAAGAGATGGGGAAGGATGTACATCCAACTGAAGATGATGGATCCTTCTGTGTCAGTTTTTACTATAATTTGTGTAAGATAGTTTCCTCTGCAGATCTCAGTTTTTCCCATCTATACAATGGGCAAGTTGCATGAGATAATCCCAGTGGTCCTTCCCAATCCAGAATGTCTAGAGTCTTTAAACTATAAATACACTCAAAGGAAGGAGCTCACAGTGTTTAGGGCTTAACGCCATGAAATCTAGACTCAGTAGACACTTCATAAAATGTCTTGTGGCTGAATGCTGAATGTCGATAATCATCCTCAGGCAGTTTTAGTATTAATAAACAGGTCAGATTTTTACCAGGAAACATTGACAGGCGAGCGACCCTGGAGCAACGTCAGAGAGCCATGGCAGTATGGCAAAACAGAGGCTTTGGAGGTCTTCCACTTACCTGCTGTGTGACATTGAGTGAATTACTGACCCTCTCTCAGCCACAATCCATGCTGAGCTGTGACCAAATACAGTTAATATTTCTGCTCCAGCTTTGGTACAATGGACAGTAATTCACTCAACAAGCATTTATTGAGCATTAGTTGCAAGTCAGCCCTGGGGATGTTGACATGAGGAAGACAGACAAGGAATTTCTTCTTACACATGTGTGAGTATCTGCCTTGCCTCTTGCCCCTTTGCTGATCTTGGTGCTGGCACTTCCACTCTGAACTGCAGCTGGACATGCCTGCCCAAGAAGGAGAAAGGGCAGAGGAAGGGGAAAGAGACCCTGGAGGGGGCCGCCTGGGGTTCCGAGGACCCCCCTGCCCGAGGGGTAGCTGCAAGAGCTGGGGTGAGACTGTGTAGGCATGGACTAGTTGCTCCCCCTTGTCCATCTCGGATTCCTCTTCTGTAACTGTGGGCAAGGACGTCTGTCTCCTGGGATTCCTCTGGGCATCAAATAGATGTTAATTGAAACGACATAATATGGATTTAACATACCAAATGAGCAGCCATTTTAACATTGCCTAAATCTCATGTCTTTTTAGCAGTCCACTTAACTTACCCTCTAATCACTAGCCAAGGATAGAACCAGTTTCTCAGAGGTAGCTATTGATAAGTGTTTTACAGCCCCCTCCCCCAGCTTGTTTTGTACTAATTAGCTTTTTCATTTCATTTGCCTCCAAGGTACCAGCCCTTCCTGACCTTCATGACACAGACAGACCCCAACACCAGGCAGCAATCATGTGACTACCCCACCCATCTACCTGCTGTCCATCACCTGACATCTGTACCCGTGCTTGCTTGCCTCTTCATGATGATGTGGTGCAGACCACCACCCAATCACCTTAATGACATTCCCCCCATCAAAGGGAAATGTTTAAAAGCATTCAACCTCAAGTGGCCAGTTGCCACTGCCTTACTAGATGCCGGTGTGGCCACGTGCTCTTTGAGCAACGGCCGTCACCATGTTTCATGGCTTTGACCTCCTTCCCTCTTCTGGGGAGGTGAATCTTCTCTCTCTCTCTCTCATTTACTTTCTAAATAACCTATATCTTCCAATCTTACTTCTGTGCATCTTTCTTTTGACACCAGATCACACACCAGACACCCACACCCCTGGCTGGTCTGACCTAACATTCTGCAGGTTCCGCTGGGAGTGTGACCTGACACTAATGCTGATAAACTGGCTGATTACTTGGGTTTTCTCTGGGTGCCAGGCTCTGGGTGAAGAAAGACTAGCGCGTTGTCACAGTACCCCTGATGACAACCTAGATTCACTCAGGAGGACAAATGAATGGAGAAGTAAAGCAACTTGTCCAGAATCTCAGATATGCAAATCAAAAGTTGGACTCTAGATGTTCCCACTCTAGACCCTGCATGGAAGCCACCACACCCTTCCAACTTCTACTCAAACAGGTGCCAAGCAACTTGGGCTACAGTTCAAGGATTAGGATCCTTATCATGCACCTGACATAATTATACTTATGCTCACGAGCATTCACATTCTGCTCTGGTCACCTCCCCTTTGGCTGCTGCGGCGGGGGGGGGGGGGGGGGGAACAAAGGTATTTAGTTATCAGAAGAGAAAATGTCCTCATCACCTGTGCTCCTGGAGGACATGACTTCTTTATCACACAGACCTTTGTTTTAAATGAAGAGCTGCAATCAGGTCATCTCGCTTTAATGAACTCTCCGAATGCTCCTACTCTTGGAACCTCCCTTTGGCATATTCTATGAAATCTCTCAGCCTAAGAGTATCTGCTGACATGCGCCAGACATTTGCCATTTGCCGGATATGCCCAAAAAGTTAACGCGAGCTCCCAGCCCCTTCTTTCTGTAGAGACAACCCTGGTTTCAGAGAAAACACATTTCAAGTCAGGAAGGGGTTGTCTAGGTTTGCTCCACTAGTCTGTGATTTTTTTTTCCTCTTTCTGTCTTATCACATGGGTTCTTCTGTTATTACAGAAGCAGTATTCATTTCATCTTAATTATGTATCTGCTTAATCCGTAATTTCTGATTTGTGGTCATTAACTCCTAATTACAAGAATGCCGCCCTTGAAAAGGAAAGCCAAGTTAACTCAGAGAAAAGGAGTCGAAAACCAAGAGGGAAGGTGGATTTAAGTTGTGCAACCGAGGGTAAATCCCAAAGCCCATTAGTTGGTCAACCAGTCGGTGGCAATCCAGAGTGAAGTCATCTCCCTCTGTGGGAGGGAAATCATCAAATCAGACTAAAATTCAAATAGAGCTCAATCTCCAAGTGAGATATTATCCAGCCCAACTTTCTTTATTTCTTTTTCTTTTTTTTTTCTTTTTGAGTCAGAGTCTCACTCTGTCATGTAGGCCACTGCCGCCTCAACCTGCCGGGCTCAGGCAATCCTTCTGCCTCAGCCTTCCAAGTAACTGGAACTTCAAGTGTGAACCACCACAGTTGGCTAATTTTTAAAAAATTTATTGTAGAGATGAGGTCTTGCCAAGTTGCCCAGGCTTGTCTTGAACCCCTGGGTTCAGGCAATTCTCTCACCTTTGCCTCACAAAGTGCTGGGATTACAGGCACGAGCCACTATGCCCTGCCCAACTTTCTTTCTAGTGACTCCTCTACTTAAAAACAAAATCAACTTAAGTGAATGTTTATAAAGAAAAGTTAAATCTATAACTATTGATAAAAGTAAAACTGGTATGACTTGCCTTAAATAGAAGGCAACTATGACAACTATTATTCGGTTCTAGAATGTTCACCCTGTGCTGTTTAAAAATCTGGAAAATCCTGCTTTGGAAAGAACTGCATTAGGTCCTTGCTGATTCAACCATTTGGATCAGTAAACACAATTATGTTGTATGGTTTGCAGATAAGGAAGTAGAGATTCAGAGGGTATAAGTGACTTTCCTAAAGTCACATAGTTAGGATGTGGCAGAATCATACTTCAAACCATCAGGACCATGCTTGCCCTGGTCTAGGCCAGAGGAGATGGAAGACTTCAACAACAACTTGAAAAGTCTGAGATTCTTCAAATCATTGGCCAGAAAGAGGCAGCAGGAGATACTCTTACCTGGGGCTGAGGATGCGGCCGCTGGTAGCTGACTGTTGAGAGGGGGTCCTCATGGTGTCTGTGGCCAGTGACAGACTACAGCTCAACCAGGACTGCAGACTGCCCTCTGGCTGGGAGCTGAGGATGGAGACGTTATCCCTACAACAAGAATGTGAGACACTGTCAACACAATGACAACCACAGTAACAGCAATAATTATATACTTGTCCCATAGCATAGCCAAGCATTGCTAAGTGCTGTACTTGCACAAGAACCTCACTCTCCATTCCTAAGAGGTGGGAGCCAGTACTATATCCATTATACAGATAGGAATACTGGGACTTGGAGAGGTCAACAGGGGTCTTGGACCAGGTCACTCAGCTAGTCAGAGGAGAAGTTGGGATGTGAACCCCATCCCTTTTTATTCCAACGCCCATGCTTTTAACCACGACATTCTTTCTTGGGGAGATACACACTCCAATACAGACATTGAGGCCTCTTAGATTTGGGGGTAAAATTTGACACTGACTTATATACCAAATGACATGTTCATGGAATATGTTAAGTGTGAGGGTCTTAACTCCTTCCTTACCTTAACTGAGCCAGATTTGTAAGTGCAGACTTTACTTTTATGCCCCCTGATTCTGTAAGCAGCACAGGGAGAGAAGGAGAGGCCCACGTGGGTACTCAAAAACTATTTTCTGGTTGATATGGCCACTCAACATTGTGTGTGGTGTGTGTGTGTGTGTGTGCGTGTGTGTGTGTGTGTGTGTGTGTGTGTGCGCGCGCGCAGAGGAAGAGAGTTTGCTTGTTTTTCTGTAGGATATTCTATGTATTCCAGGCACCAGAAGAAGGGAGCTGTACACATGAACTTAACCTTGATCCTGTCATCAAGACCCCATCCATATAAATGACCATAAAATGAAAATTATTAATGCTAACAGAGGGAAAGATGGTAGGTTCTAAGGGTAACAAAGAAGCCTCAGTTTGCTTCTTGGAAGCATAAAGAAAGGCATCAAGTAATATAAGTCGAGATACATCTTCTTTGAAGGTAGAGCTTGACCACACAGGGATCAGAGAAAGGAATTTTAGGTGGAAGGAACAGCATGCACATAGGGATAGAGGTCACAAAGATCAGGGCATAAATAAGATGGAAAGCAGGAATCACAGCTGGAAAGGGAAGTAAGGATCAGGCTGCGCAGGACACACATGTCAGCATCAAAAGTCTCTTCTAACCGGGCTCGGTGGCTCAGCCTGTAATCCCGTGCCTTTGGGAGGCTGAGGTGAATGGATTGCCTGAGTCCATGGGTTCGAGACCCGCCTGGGCAGGCGAGATTTCATCTCTACAATAAATCAAAAAATTAGCCAGGTGTGGTAGCGCGCACCTGTAGTTCCAGATACGTGAAAGGCTGGGGCGAAAGAATCGCCAGAGTCCAGCAGGTCGAGGCTGCGGTGGCTGGGAGCGGCCACTGCACTCCAGTCTGGGCGACAGAGTGAGACTCCAACTCAAAAAAAAAAGTCTCTTCTGAGGCAATGGGGAGCCATTGAAGGTGTTTAAGGACAGTGGCATGTTAAGGCATAGGCTTCTCTCTATCTAAAATATGTTGCACAGTCGATACTATGTTCCTAGCACTATGCATTATCACCATGAAGTCAGAGGTCTCGTGGGTGTTGATAATTCTCCAAGAAGGTGTGGATGTTTCCTCTGCAAACTGGACACAGAGAGCCAGGGGTCTTGCCCGTATAAGCTGCTCAGTTCTACTTGAGGTTAACTTACATCTCTTTTCTGCCACTGCTGCCACAATCCACTGCAGTCTGGACACTAGAAGGAGGCACAAGAAAGACTCTGTTATCCTTACGCTGCCAGGGGCTGGGAACATGATTGTCAATGCAGAAAGACTTGGGTTTGAGACCCATTTCCAACTGTTGCCACGGTGTGATCCCTGAGCTTCTGTATGCCTTTGTAAAATGTAGCTAATAATGGTTCTCTGGCTCCAGCGTTGTGGAGCAGAGTAAGTGAGATAACCCTTGTGAAGATCTCAGCATGGTCCCTGGCAAATAGACGGCATTAATTAAATGGTAGTCACCGTTACCGCTACTCTTGTTTTAGCACAACTAGTGCTGCTATTAATAATAGCATCATTATTGCCCACAAGCAAGGCATTTGCTTTACATTCTTTGTGAATCAGACACAAGGCAGGATAGTTTCTCAGGGCATTGTGGGAAACTCCAGAACTAATTACAATAGTCGCTATTCTTTAGAGAGTATCCTTTCATTTAAAGAATGCGCTATACACACAATTCATCTATCCACCCCATATGTCCCCATTTTGGAGATAAAGAATCTGAGTCCTCGTCTAAGGTCACATAGCTTTGAATCCCAGGCCTATTAAGTTCATGCTCCTAACCTGTGTGCATTTGATCAGTGCATGGGTACAGACAGCCAAACCACAAACCTCGGACACCTAAGACATCATTTAATGGGTTCTCAGGTTGGGACCTTGCCACTTTATTCTCTACAGGAATCTGAGCAATTCCTTTTTTCTATAAGACCTGGTTGTTTCCCTCAAGGGATGCATCTGCTGCTCCTTGGTCCTCACCCTCTGGGACCTGTTACCTTCGGCTTGTATTCACATTCATCTGCCCCCACCAGAATGCAACACTCCTCCTGGACCAAGAACATGTCTTATTCATCCTTCAGCCCCAGGGCTTAGCCCTGAGCACAAGTCAGACCAGAATTCTCAAACAATGTCTGGTTAATCTAACCGAAGAGGGGTCAGTAAACCACAGCCACAGGGCAAATCCAGCCTACCACCTATTTTTATAAATTGACATTTTTGTCTGTGACTGCCTTTGCACTACAATAGCAGAGTAGTTGCAACAAAGGCCATGCTACTATGACCCAAAAAGACAAAATATTTATCAACTGGCCTTTTAAAGAGAAAGACCATGCAATAGAACAAAAGCACTTTTTGTGAACGACCCTGTGAGAGGCAGAATAATGGCCTTAAAGATGGCCACATCTTTATCCCTAAACCCAAGGATGTGGGAATATGTCTCCTCACATGACAAAAGTTTTACCGGAGCACAGTCAAACACGTTCATTTACATTGTGAAAACTTCCTCACATACTTTGACTATATCAATCACTACTTGAATCCAGCACTCAGAATGTCTTTATAGCTCAATAACTAAGCAAAGCAAGTGCTGGTGTTAATTCTTATCCACTATTTGCTCTAACAGGCTTCATGAGTATAAGCCTTATAGGTGGCCCTGGGGTACAGATTTAGTCCCTTCAAAAGGACTCTTCCCCAGCACTAGAACCCCAACTGCTTGCTGGTGTCTAGCTGCACTAGACATCTTTTTTTCACTTCTCCACATCCACTCCACACCCTCTGCCTTGCTATGTGCCTGGGAGCTGATCTGTATGGACCACATCAATGGGCTCCCTATCCCTGTGGCTTCTCCTTGTGCTCAATGAGGAACACCGCTGACAGTTGATGGGAAGTTTTCTCTACTGCCTCTTCTTGAGTCGGCTCTGTCCCTCAACCAAAGGCCACAGCTCCTTCTGCCAGGTGGCCCCCTCTATACCTCTCTTTCTAGATTCCAGCAATTGTACCCTCTCCTGCCCCTTCAGACCTAGAAGCACAGGTTGTTTCCAGGTGTTGCTAGTCCTTGGGGGCTGCAACATCCGTCCTTGGGGCTTCCCCACACCACTCCCACACCATTGTAAACAGTCCTTTTGTTAAACTCTCTTCATTTGGGATTTGTCTTTCAGTACCTGTCAGACTCTATCACAATAGCTAATCTCAGTGCCGTTTCTGCTTTAACAGGAAGATCTGGGTTTACCAGCCCAATAGTTTATATGAAGAAAAAGCAGGCAGCAGGCATGACCCAATATTGTATCCTTTATCACTGTGTGGGAAAGAATGGTGAAGAATCTAATGAGGCAATCTTATAAGGATATAAGATTGTCGGCAATCATTATTAGCCCTCCAAAGCTTGTGTCTCTGGTAAAGAACCAGCCATGGGTGCAAATGAAAAGATGTAACTGTGAATGCTTATTAATCTTACATTTTATAGTGTTGATGCCCTGTTTGCTTCTGCCTGTGAACCTGTTTCACTAGTTTCCACAGAACCTTTAAGGGTGGGAGGCAAACCCTGCCAGGTTGTCTATTTGTTCATGCATGATGCAATACTGTGCAGACCAAGGGTGGTATCAACCTGGACCACACACTACCTGCCATCTGGGAATGTCTCAGTGAAATAGAGTGTGTTTAAAATAAAAAGGCTAGATTGAGAAGAGCTTCTGCGGGATACATCCCACATTATTATATGAGTGAATGCTGAAGGCACCTAACACCCTCATTGTGAGGCAATCTGGAACAAAGTCTTGGAGACAGGAGGTGAGGAAAGGCTTTTAGGCAGAATCAGAGAAATGGGGGAGGGGGGGTTGCTAAACCAGATAGGTATAAATCACCACCATGTTGACTTTATAAAAAATCATGGGTAATTGGTCCTGGTGGGTACTTGGGCTTTTACACCAATGTACATGGAACCCTTGAGTTCGGGGAGACCCCACGGGGGCTACCAAGAGGTCAGGAAGAGAGAGGGGTTGGCCCCAAACCTTCCTTTCTCATTCCAACAGAGGATAGCTGCACTCTATCCTAAGCTAGAATTTTCTGTAGGATTTCCTTTGGTATAAAAAGGGGGTTCTTCATTTAAAGGAGAAATTTTGAAACCCATAGACCCTTTCACCATGTGGAGAAAGGAGTCTTTAGGCTACAAGATCCACGAGGCAGGTCCACATCTGCTTGTCCCCTGATGTATCTCCTGTCTTAACACAGGAGGTGCCCACTGGTGTTGAGTAGGCAAGCAGAGGTCCAGGAGGGCTAATGACCTGTCCGTGGTCCTGATCCATTTGGCAGGAAAGCTAAGCCTGGGACCCTCATCTCTTGACTTGTAATCAGTGGTTCTTTCTCTCTCCTTGGTGAAAGTGGCTTTTTAAACAAGAATTTGTGCCCAGAATTTGTAAACAAGGGACTGATGATGGGCAAGACAGCTAGTTAAATGTCTTCAGCTGTATTCCTTTAGGGTAAGTCTTGCCAGACAACTCCAGTCTATCTGCAAATGTTGTTTGGTAAGTCGTAAGTAAATCCATGGACTCCATCTCACAGTGGCAGCCACAAGTTTACCATAATGATAGACCAGTTACTGGGCAGAGAGCAGAGATCCTGAAAAGGGAAAGGAGGAAGCAGGGGTAAGCTTGACATGACGGGTCACGGCTTGATCATTAGAAGTGTGGGTGATTAGTCTCATTGCTGGTTTATTAAACTGCATAGGGCATACAATGTAATAAAAAAAAGAAGTGTGGGTGATGGGGTCAGCCTGGAATGCAGATCACGGCCCTGTTTCGTATTGTGTGTGGGTTGGAGCAAGTTTCTTGACTTCCCTAAGCCTGTTTCTTCATCTGCAGGTGGGAATGATAACCTCAGAGATCTGTTATAAGGACAATCTATGCCACAGGTAACATACTAACTAGCACAAAGTAAGTCCTCAAGAGAGGGTACCTATGATTACAATTACCACTATTTCCTGTAATGCCAGAGTAGATGAAGTAGCCTTGGGCCCTGACTCCCTGTAAGCCCCATTAACTGGGTATTTGGGCTGGAAACATGTCCAGAAAGCCAGGTAGCCTGTGCAGCATCACTTAATCAGGTGCTATACCATACTAAGGCCCTGCACTGCAACCTGGACTATGGCACCAACCTCCTTAGGTCAATGGAGAAATGTTTTAAGCTGTTCCTCCAGGCCTGGAACATACTCATTACTTATGGAGGGCAAACTAGGTGAGAGTTGTAGGAGTAAGGCTGTGGGAAGTTCCAAAGACTGTCCTACTATGTAGCAGGAAACTTGATAGTCTTGCCAGAACCTGGGCCCACCAGTGAATAAATGAACTCAGAAATATGCCTTCTGTGGCCACCACAGTTTTTGTTTAGACCCAGATCTTTCTACTTGTCCTACTGCAGCCTAATTTTAGTCAGGTTATAAAAGGATGTATGTTGGAAAACATCCAACTTGCACTCAACAAAGCAACAGAGGACTTGTTTTCAGAGCATTCATCTCAGATTGGGCCAGCTGGAATTGATGTACTCTCAGCTGACTCAGGAGTCAGAGGTCACCCACTGACCTCTCCATATCCCACCCAAACCACTCCCTTTCCCTACCCCAGCCAAGGTAACTGACAGAGCAGCCACAGTCTCTGGGCCAGGAATTGATGAGACTGTCTGTCAGCCAACCCATGCCTTTCTCCATGAGTAATGGATGTGCTCTAGGCCTGGGGAGCAGCTTAAAGCATTTCTCCATTCATCTAAGGAGTTGATGCCACAGTCCAGGTTACCATGCAGGGTCCTGGTGCAGAAGAGTGCATGTTTAAATGCTGCCGTATAGGCCACCTGGCTTTCTGAGCACGTAGCCACATTTCTAGCCTGGAAGGCCTGTTACACTCAGATCTAATTCCCAACATGGGTAAATGTGACTTTTTGTAATTTGAACAAGTCTCTTAAAGAACCTCACCAGCAGCTGAAGCATCATTCTCATTCTCATTCTCTCTTTCTCTCTCTCAGGTGGGTTTGAATCCTAATTGAGAACTCAGTTTGGAGAAGAACCTTGGACCACCTTTCAGGCTCCAGTCCAAACCCTTTAGCCGGGGTGATTAGGCAATTGGGAGCAGGTGCCATGTGGATGGAGCACACGGCATGGGGGAACACAGGCTGGTGCTAGGACAGGGACCAGGGGTTCTTTCTGGACTCAAGACTTAAA